GCTTTCCTCTGGGAAGTCGCCAGTCGACATTGGCCGGCGGATGGAATTCGGAGGAGGCCTAGTCTGTGGGATCTGATCGGTCTATTGGAGGTAATTGATGAAAAATAGGTTAGAAGGCCTCCCTACTTGGTTGGCATGGTTGACTCTTGGGTCTATTTATTTTATTAGGTGGGCCAGTTAGAAAACCTTGTTGACACTGTTTAGATTTTCTCATTATCTTTCACCAGTGGTGGGCTGCTGCCAGTTCGGACCGGTTCAAGTGAACCGGTAGTTCCTATTTTGTCCTATATCGCCATGGTTTTGGAGCTGTGCACATGGATGGCGTGTGCGTGAGCAAAGCACACATTTTCCAGTGCTGGGCGAACTGGTTGTTACATTATGTGATGCCCACCTCTGCCCTTCACAATATTTTCAGCCATCTCCCTTGCTTTCCTCTTTTCCAGGAAAAGCTGTGCCAGCAGAAGTATAACGTCTCCTGCATCATGATCATGCCCCAGTACCAAAGGCAAGGATTTGGGAGGTTCCTCATCGATTTCAGTAAGTGAAGGGCTGCCTTTGCCTTCGTGAATTTGGGAAGTGGATATTGCAGTGAAAAACCAAAGAGCAACGGTGCTTTTCTGCACCTAGACAATGGGCTTTCTGTGTCTAATTGCACCCAGGCAGAATAAGTCCATTAAAAGAAACATTTAATCCTGTGATATACCTGAAGAAGCAGAGTCTCTCTCTCCCTCCCTCCCTCCCTCCCTCCCTCCCTCTCTCTCTCTCTCTTCGCAGGGATATTAGCTCTCGATGCTGTTAGGTTGAATGAATTGTCTAAATTGCATTCCTTTCACGTTATTGTTCATTAATACAGAGAGAAGCCGTGATTTGTCATTAAAGTAAGAAGGTAATTTAAGGCCTTCTCCAGTTCCTAGATTTCTTTTTAGCGCAAAGTGTATTTTAGATGAGCAGTACCTAAAATGGAGCATAACGTTTTAGACTTTTGTTCCTTTCAAAAACGTAATTGCCTCAAGTCTGAAAGAGACAATACTTCTTGGAGCACGCTGTGAAAAACAGTATATCCTGATTTTATTTTATTTTTAAATAAATCATGCACTTAGGCAGACGGCGTATTTTGAACAGCTCAAAATATTACCTCCACTGCTTCTGTATAGTTTTTATTAAAAGGCAAGAGAACAAAACGTAACCTCTAAACCCTGGGTGGGTTGCTGCCGGCGTTACTGCCAGTTTGCAACCTGCGCGCAAGACGTGTGCTGCACGCACATGCGCTATTCAATGTAAATTGTTCTTCGGGCATGCGCAGAACAATTTACAGTGAACTGCACATGTGCAGTCACTAAAATCCAAACTGGCAGCAGCCAAGCAGCAGCGAGGGAACTGGTTTGGGAGTGTGGCAGGCCTGGATCACCTCCGGTTCTGCGACCCAGGCCTGTATTCCACTACTGGTTCAGCCGAACCAAGCCGAACCGGCAGCAACCCACCTCTGCAATAAACGGACTAAATGTTTAACCAGGGTGTCAAACTTGATTTCATTGAGGGCCACATCAGGGTTGTGTTTGACCTCAGGGGGACAGGGTGGGCGTGGCCAGCTCAATGTCACTCATTTTGGGGGTGCCTATGATGGCCCAAGTGCTCTGCCAGTGAAAACGGGCTCCCAAGCTCTGTTTGTGGCTGCTACGGCTTCCTGCAACCCTCTGCCAGTGAATGTGTCTCACTTAACGCCCATGTTGGTGAGCAACAGATTGGCTGGCCTCTATTGCGGTCATTAAACAATGATTACCTGTTGCAGTTGATATTAACTTATTACTTGGATTTTGACAATGATTTGTAGACTTTAACATTGTGTTTAATTGTTTTAAACCCAGTAATAAATATTGAAAACTCTAGCCCGCTCTGCTGCTTGGAAATTCCCTGTTCACTTCATGTTTTATCTTTCTGAATTTTTTTTCTCCTTTTTTCTTTCATCTATCTTGTTTTCACCCCCATCCCCCACTCCCAAAATGCTTAATTCAAGTCACATTTAATCACATTTTTTTAAAAAAAAACAACCTTGACATTTCTGGCACTTTAGAGTTTCTTCTCCATGATCGGTGTTGTCAAAATTGAAATTGGGAAGAAGATGGATATAAGTAGGAAGATTTTGTTTTGCATTAGCAGTGGTCATGAAAAAGAGATACTGCTAATCATTTTCTTTCAGAATATTCATGTTTGACATTTTAGAAATTACAGAAGGGACTTGAGTGCTGCTAGAAAACTTAAAAAAAATATTTTTCAAAAGCCTGCCTCCTCCTTCTAAATTGGATCCCAGCAGGGAGCATCATCAGAGAGTATTCAGGAACTGAATCAAAACGACGGCTGACATTTCTCTTCTGATGAAAAAGGTGATGTTTGAAATGCAAAATATAAATTGGGAGAATGCTTAATACGGCGTTTAATTCTGATGAACCGGCTTACCTGTTGCTTCATCAAACTCAAGGTGAAGCAACAGCTGCTGCCAGATCTCAGGAATGTTTTTATGAAGAGAAACATATTTTTCTTGATTTCTTAACATGAAGGATGGGCTTTCAGATGTAGGAGGTGAGCAGGTGGTGTCAAACACATCATCAGTTTGGAGTCTCTGCGCCCCCTTAAGGACCTAAGTCCAGTTCTCCTCAAAGTCCGTTGATAATTCAAAAGTACTACAAGTTTATTTCATGCTACCTATTCAAAAGAATTTGAAATAGTAACATTTGAGGCAAATTGCTGACAGTTGTTTTCACTGGCAGAGCAAGAGGCTGTCGCAGCCAAAAACGGAGCTCGGGAGTCTTGTTTTCGCTGGAACTCCTGATACGAATGTCATCGAGCTGGCCATGCCCATTCGGGCCACGCCCCCCC